ACCTTTCCTCTGACCTCCAAAGATAAGATAAGCAGATTCTACCTGATAACCAGAGATTTTAGAAGTTGTTTATCATAACAGCTTTTCTCTTTTCTTAAGAGGGAAAAAGTAAACACTTCCAGACCCTAATCCTACCTGCTTTTCCTGCTTCCCCTTCCCTGATTTCTCCCCCAAACATTCCCCCCTTCCACACCCTAAAGCCCCCATATATAAAGTCCCAGCTCACAACCTGTGGGCTGATATCTTTCCCTGACATCTTTCCCTGCCCTTCCCTGACATCCTTCCCTGACATCCTTCCCTTCCCTGACACCTTTCCCTTCCCTGAGGGAAAGGTGCCCCATGCAAAATAAATCTGTACCCCGCTGAGAATTCCATCTGTGCCTCAGTGCCTTCCTCCATCCACTTGTGCTCTCCACCACCCGCTCGCTCTCTCCAACATTCCTACCTATCAGTTCCCATTCCCTGCCCTTCCCTGACATCCTTCCCTGACATCCTTCCCTTCCCTGACACCTTTCCCTTCCCTGAGGGAAAGGTGCCCCATGCAAAATAAATCTGTACCCCGCTGAGAATTCCATCTGTGCCTCAGTGCCTTCCTCCATCCACTTGTGCTCTCCACCACCCGCTCGCTCTCTCCAACATTCCTACCTATCAGTTCCCACAATTTTTCCTATTTTGTCTCAGGAGGGCTCAAGGAAAAGGGACAGAGTCACTAGAAGAATGTGACAGGAGAACAGAACCTGGAGGAAGCAACATCAAAATTAACATATAAAAGAGGCCTTTTATCCCAGCATTCAGGAGGCAGAGGCAGGTTGATTGCTGAGTTTGAGGCCCAGACAGGACAACAGAGTGATGAGACTCCTGTCTCAAAAAGAGGGGGAAAAAGTCAGTTGCCAGAAAAAGACTTGAAGCCTTTCTCCACTGGGCTTCATACAACAAATGGAGAAACCCCAATTTACAAACCTAGGAGAGGCAGGTACTGTGTAATTGTCCTATATAGGGACAGGAGTCTCTCGGCCTGTCTTTTGGAAGAGCTTCCTTTTCTCTGCTCTCTAGCAGACTCCCATTCTTGGGAGCTCCTCCCCCCACCCAAAAGTCTTTAAAATTTCTTCTCATTGTGTATGGTGTGTGTGTGTGTGTGTGTGTGTGTGTGTGTGTGAGGGGGGGAGGGTTGGGGCCTGTGTGTGGAGGTCAGAGGACAACCTGCAGGAGTCCTCACTCCACCATGTGGGTTCCAGGGATTGAACTCAGCTCATTGGGCTTAGGTGGCAAGTACCTTTATCTGCTGAGCCATCTTGCAGGCAAATCTTCCCCCTTTTATTTCTACAGTTTTTTTTTTTTTTTGAGACAGGGTCTCTCTGTAGCCCCAGTTGGCCTGGAACTCACTATGTAGAGCAGGCTGGCCTTGAACTCAGAGATCTGCCTGCCTGTACCTCCTGAGTGCCGTGATTAAAAGTGTGCACCACAGATGTGGCTAATTTCTATTTTTTAAAATATTTATTTTTATGAGAGTTTGCATGCATATAAGTGCACATGCTCCCAGAGACCAAAAGAGGGTGTTGGATCCCTTGGAATGACGGTTGTGCTGGCCATCCGAATGCTGGGAATCGCTTTCCAGTCCCATGTATTTTCACTTTTAACCATGTGTCCCTAGTCTAATTCTCTGCATAGGTCATCAGGGGCCCTGAAACTCCCCATCCTAAGACAAGGGGTGGAGTTCCTGGCCTGATCTGTAGGGGTCTTCCTGTTCTCCACACAGCATGGCCCCAGCTGAGGCAAGGCTGTCAGCTCAAGTTGGCCTTTGTACATGTTTCTGAGACCAGCCGGAACTCTCACGCTCCAGGGAGGAAACTCTAATTTCTCCACCTGAAGGGTTCTAAACTATGAGTCTCAGAATAAACTCAAACTACTCCGGCAGAACCCGGGGAACGGCGGTTGAAAGCGGAAATGACGTCATCCACCCCTGATGTGGCCTTGCTGAAGCTGGGTCAGTCTAATTTATCTCCCAGAATGGCTTCCAAATTGCTTGAGCTGGAGCCAGAGCCCGGAGCCGGGTGCTCCAGTTTGAGGCCAGAAGCAGAAGCAGAAGTGGCGTCAGTCATTGTCCTCCGTCTCTTCCGGCGCTGGCTCTGGGCTGGGGGCGGCTGACTTCCTCTCAACCTGCGGGATCTGGAGACTCAAAAACTGGTTATGCAGCCCCAGGCCGGAAGCGGAAATAATTCCAGTCATAGTCTTCCGTCTCTTCCAGCAGCCTGGACTCCAGGCTTCCTGGTTCCGGGACCCTCGGCTGCGGAGTCCAGGCCCCGCATCCCAGTTCCTCTGGCGGCTACTCAGAGGCCGCGGTTCCCGCGCCCGTCGGCTTCCTTGGGGCTCTGCAGACCGGCGACCACCACCCGGGCCGCCACAGCCTCCCGGGCGGCCTTCGGGAGGCGTTTTCTTCCAGAAGGAAAGGGATTTCCCCGCCGTTCATTCCTGGTCCTTCGTGCCCCCTTCTAGGCGAGCTGAGGCGGCTAGGGCGCGTTCTGGTGAGCGCTGGGTGAAAGCTCCAGAGGGCGTCGACCCCTCCTTGTCTTTGTAGACAAATATATCGTGGGGAATATGGCTTTCTCTCTGCAGTTTCCATTTTTGCTCCTGACAGGAAGTTGCAATTGGGTGGGAAGCCGCGTTTTGAGCTGCGCAGAACACCGCGTATGCTGAAAGAAAAAGTGTTCTCTCCATGAGAACTTACTAGGCCACCACATCTGGCAACGTGAATTTTTTTATAGTCTCAGAACAAAAGTCAAAAATCAAGGCATTTTTCAAAAACCTTGCTGCGGACATAAGGTGGTTGGGTTCTCTTACAGGTTATAGTTGCTGTTTGGATAACTTGTCTTTTTGAGACAGGGTCTCCTTGTAGCCCTAGCTGGCCTGGAACTCTGTAGAATAGGCTGGTCTTGAGCGCAGAGAGCCACCTTCCTCTGCCTCTGCCTCACAGAGTGCTGTGATTAAAGGCACGTGCTGTCCTGACCACTTTTCGGTTTTGTTTTGTTTTTGGTCTGATGACATTCTTAACTTTTGGGCTGTTGGAAGCTAGTGTTCTGCTAACAGAACAGTTTACCTGATTTTGAAAAGGATGTATGTTCAGGCACAGAGGTGGGCACTGAATGCCTATTAAGGGGGGTAAAGGAACCCCCAGATAATTTAGACTCTGGATCTGCAACATTCTGACCTCTATAATCACTAAGTTATTAGCCAGTCTTATAGACTCTTCAGGTAGGTATGTCCTGCTGGCCCTCCCACTGGCCCTCTCTCCCTCCTCTTTTTCTTGCTTTCTCTCTTTCAACTTCAGTCTCCAACAGTTCAAAGGAAATAAGTTGAAAATTGCAGCTTTGATAGTTAAGCTGGAAATGCCTGGTAATGCATCTTAAACTAAGGAAATTTAAAATATCATAAATATATGGCATTCGTGAAAAAAGTAAAATTCTCCACATTGTTCCAAAATAACCATTTGGTCATTCTTGGTTCTAATACCCCTTCAAGTTTTTTTTTTTTTTTTTTTTTTTTTTTTTTTTTAAAAAAAAAAAAAAGTGTGTGTGTGTGTGTGTGTGTGTGTGTGTGTGTGCATGCATGCATGCATGCATAAGTGTAGATGCCTGAGGAGGCCAGAAGAGGGTGTTAGGTCCCTTGGAGCTGGAGTTGCATGTGGTTGTAAGCTGCCCAACATGGGTGTTGGGAACTGTACTCTGGTTCTTTCAAAGAGGGGCAGGAGCTCTTAACCAGCCCCTCTTTAAAGTTTGTATGTGTTGCAGTTATGTTCTTTTAAGTAAATTCTTGGTGCCTAGAGCAATAGTTATAGTTTTTCTGTTTTGTTATCTTGCAACAATCACTCCATCTTTCAGAAAGTTTACACATTGTGATTGTATTTGCCTAATATGTTTATTTCCTTGCACATGTGAGGCAAGTGCTGTTCCATACATTCCTAGTCTCTTTCTGACATATTTAAATGCTTTTTTCATTTCTTGTGTACTTGAATGGTTGGCTACAGCAAAGTGACAAAATTTAGCCTAGAGATATTGGTGAGCTTGTAAGCAGTGGAGGAGACTAATGTGTAATCAAGGAAATTAATATATTACTGCAAATTGATGAAGACTCAGAAAGTAAAGGACAGTATTTTCTGTTTTTGAATAGGGTAGGTGAAGTGAAGAATGATGATTAACCCAATACCAAAAATATTAAACATCAAAAGAAAAAAATGAAAAAAAAGAAAGGATGTGAAGTTGGGAGGGGGACATGGTAGGGGAGGGAAGTGGTGGTAAATATCAAAATATATTGTATACATGTATGAAATTCTCAAAGAATAAATAAAAATATATTAAAAATTAGAGCAAAATAGTAAGTGAAAAACGAACTAGATGTTGGAGTTAGCCATGTTGATAGGGAGTAAGGGAGTAGGCGATAGTGACTCCTCCCTCCTCCCAGAATACTGGGAGGCATTGGAGCTGTCTGTCTGGCCTCTGAATATGTCACTTGAGTCTCCCTGGAGAAGGGTGTTATCACTGTAGTGGTACATGTGTGTTCCTCCGAAGGTGGGTGCCATTGAGGTCCTGCTTGCAGTGATAGTGAATGGCACATCTGTTAGGTAGCCTGGAAAATGTGTGTCATTTCCTTTTGGAGGTGGACACAAACTGCAGTTTAGACACTAATATAAGATAGAGAAATTGGTATGCCTCACTTTAACTTTGACTTATTTGAATTTCATGATAGTGTAATACCTAACTAATGTCAGTTCTTTTTAATTTTTTTTTAAATGGAAGATGGGATTTTTCTGTTTTGTCCAAGCTGACCTTGAACTCACTGTCCTCCCACTCCTGCTTCAGCTTCTTGAGTTGTAAAGTCAGTTTTTGTCATTTACAATTCTCTTGATAATGTGGAATCTAATGAAAATAGTGTGAGCTGGGTATGGTGGCACCCAGTAGCCTGTAATCTTAGCACTTGGGAACTAAGACTGGGGATTGCCAATTTGAGGCAGTCCTGGGATACACAGACCACCATCTCCTGTTTTTTTGAAAAATTGTATTTGTCTCAGAGTAATTTAAAGTAGGGCCTATTCAACTTCAAGGATTAAACTTGGTTATATAAAACCTAAAATTACGGTTGGAGAGATTGCTCAGTGGGTAAAGATGCCTGCTGCCAAGGATGGAGTTAGATCCCTTGGACCCACACAGTGAAAGGAGAGAACTGAGTAGTTCTCTTGACCTCTACATGTGTTCTGTGGCTTATGTCCTCTGTCCCCCACAAAATAAAGTAAAAATGTAAAGGAAAAAAACTAAAAAGGTGATTATCTTCATGGCTTCTCCATGTGGCAGACCATTACATGGTACCTTATAGTGTATTACTGCAATCCTAATATTGAGGTTCTGTCTGTGAAGGCCCCATAGTCAATGTTCAGTAGCACAGTAACATGACTGATTGTCCTGTATTCAGTCATGTGTTCTCCCTTTACATGTGGCTAACATACTGCTTATTGCCTCTTTCAGCAGCTTTGTAGCCTCTTTGTACCTCCAGGAATGCCTTCCACGTTTTCCATATGACCCTTGGAGTACCTCAACAATTTTTCCATCACACAAATCTTTGCAGAAGACAGCCTTGTTAAATCCACCTTTCTATAGGACCAAAGGTAAGGCATGAGATTTGGCATACTTCTTTTGTTTGGGGGGGGTGTTATTATTTATGTCTCCCTGTAGCCCCAGCTGACCTGGAACTCACTATGTAGACCAGGCTGGCCTGGAACTCACAAGAGATCCTCCTGCCTCTGCCTCCCAAGTGCTAGGATTAAAGGCATGTGCCACCACTCTTGGCCATTTATTTTTATTTTATGTGTATGAGTGTTTTGCCTGCATGTATGTAAGTGCACCTGTGTCATGCAATGCCCTCGAAGGTCAGAAGAGGGTGTTAGATCCCCTGGAATTACAGACAGTTGTTAGCTGTCATGTGGGTGCTGGGAACCAAACCTTGGTCCTTTGGAAGAGCTGCCAGTGCTCTTAAAGTCTGAACCATCTCCCCAGCCCTCACACATTTTTAAAAATGTGAACATATGTGTTTATGTGTGCATGGATCCACAGGTGTGCCTATGGTTGTATGTGCCTCTGGAGAGCAGAGGACAACCTTGTGTATCATCCCCCTTTGAGATAGGTTCTCTCATTGGCCTACAGATCACCAGTTAGGTTGGAGTGGCTGGCCAAGGAGCTCCAGGGATCCTCCTGCCTTGCTTCCTAGCTCTGAGATTACAAGTGTATGCCACCATGCCTGGCATTTTACATGGGTAATGGAGATCACACTCAGGTTCTCATGCTTGTTAGGCAAACTCTTTACTGACTGAACTCTCTAGCCCTTGACACTTTTTTGAGGCAGGGTCTCTCTGGCTGACCTTGAGCTCAGAGATCTGCCTGCCTTTGCCCCCTGAGTGTTGGGATCAAAGGAGAGTGCTACCACATACATGCCTTTGAGTCTTTGAGGTTTTCTTTCTTTTTTCTTTGTTTTTTTGTTAATTGCTTTTTGACAGAATCTCCCTAATCATAGCCTGCTTGGAAGTCATGATGTAAATGAGGGTGGCCTCCACTTCACAGAGATCCACCTGCCTCTGTCTCCTGCTGGGAATAAAGGTACATGCCACCACTCCTGGCATGAGGTTTTCTTTAAAACCTCTTCTTTAAAAAAATTTTTTTTTGCTTCTTTGTTTTTTTGTTAATTGCTTTTTGACAGAATCTCCCTAATCATAGCCTGCTTGGAAGTCATGATGTAAATGAGGGTGGCCTCCACTTCACAGAGATCCACCTGCCTCTGTCTCCTGCTGGGAATAAAGGTACATGCCACCACTCCTGGCATGAGGTTTTCTTTAAAACCTCTTCTTTAAAAAAATTTTTTTTTGCTTATTTGTATTTGTGTGTATGGGTAACTCACTGGAACTCACTATGCAGACCAGGCCGGCCTTGAACTCACAGAGATCTACCTGCCTTTGCCTCCTGAGTGCTGGGATTAAAGGCATGTGCCACCGCATCTGGCTATTAAAAAAAAATTGCTTACCTATTTATGTGTATATACATGTATGTGAAAGTGCCCAGGAACGGCACTGAATCCCTTGGAGCTGGAGTTACAGGCAGTTGTGAACCCCGAGAGAGAGAGAGAGAGAGAGAGAGAGAGAGTAGGCCAGAGGAGTTTGTTCTTGTTTTGCCCTGTTCATCTCTACTGTAGTCCTTTGAGACAGGGTCTCTCACTGAACCTGGAGTTAGGTTATCCCTGTCCCCAGCAGTGCTGGGCTTAGCTCGGCCTGATTTTTTATGTGGGTGTTGGGGATTTGAATTCAGAACCTTATGTTTTCCCAAGACATTTTACCCACTGAGCCATCTCTTCAGCTCCCACTTTCTTGGGTTTTTGAGACATAGTTTCATTATATAGCCTATGTTGGTTAGGGACAGAGGTGCAGACTTGCCCCCACTTCCTGATTGAGCCCTCTATCTATCCAACATAGTGAATGGATGTGGGTATGCTTTAGAATTAGCAAATCAAAGTGCTGAATGCAGCTCTTCCACATTATATCTTCACTGAAAACAATTATAATTGAGAAGAATGCTTGACATTGTGTGTATGAGATTGTTTTAGGCCTAGGGATGAAAGGACAAGATTGTCTGGTAAGGAAAAGGGTGGATCAAAGCTTGTAGTACCCCAAATTGATGCTTGGAGAAAGTTTTAAATAAAGATGTGGGTGAGGCCTAGATCAGCAGCATAGCTCCAGGAGACATCTGGAGGAATGGGTGCGTCTGAGTTCAGGCTCACTCATAACTAGAGTCAAGAGTCAGGCTGTTTATTCAGGTATAACTGCGATGTTGGCATAGTAATGCTGGCGCGTGTGTGCGTGTGCGTGTGTGTGTGTGTATGCTCATGCTACAACATGCTTGTAGAGGTCAGAGGACATCTTGCAGGCGTTGGTCCTCTCATTCTGTCATGTGGGTTCCAGAAATCAAACTCGGATCAGCAGGCTTGGTGACAAGTGCCCTTACCTGCTGAGCCATTTTGACTGGTCCTGAATCTAGATTTTGTTAAAGCATTAAATATTGATAATGATGCCCTTGAAGCCTTAGGATAATGTATATATATATAACTTGTAGCATATTGTAGTCCTTGGTAAATAGCAGTTGGTGTTGCTATTGCTTATGTTGTAGTGTGCATCATTTTTAGTGGCTTTCACACTTAGCACCATCAGAGAGAGCTACTTATGATGCTTGATGATGGATATGTAACACATACTGATGAGTGATCCATGTCTACAGGGATGCAGGTAATGTCAGAGAGAGAGAGGAACAAACTGCCACTGGCTACTTAAATGTAGAAGCTGCCTAGTTGTATCCTTGGAATTCTGGAAGAGTGTTTGGGTATATTTCACCATCACCTTTACAGGATGGAAGCCATCAATTTGTCCCATGGTAAGTCCTGCTGATGTTAGGTGCTCTTTGCACAGATGGATGTTGGGGATCTGCAGGCACTGAAGTTGGCCAGAGTGGGTTCTCTTAAAGTCAGCCTTCCCTATCTGTGCTTTGGTTAAAGATGCTATATGATTTCATTCGTTAGTTCCTCCAATATGGGCAATTACCGAGTCACATTTCTCAGAGCTTATTTTATCTTATTTTTTGAGACAGGTCCTCTGCTGTAGCCCCAGTTGGCCTGGGACTTGCTTTGTAGATCAGACTGGCCTGGATCCCAAAAGAGATCTTCCTGCCTCTGCCTCCTGAGTTCTGGGATTAAAGGTGTGTGCCATCACACCCAGCTTATGGTTCCTTACTTGAAAAATGAGACTATTACTTGTTGTGATGGACAGCCTGACTTGCTGTGCCTTTTTCTCCCTTTATGAGACTGACTGGCTTATGGTGTTCCTGTGTATGTGTGTGGATTTTGTGGGAGTTTTGAACTAGGATAGGATGACATCCACACATGTGAATATGGGAATTATGGACAATTTTGAGTTCTCATACCTTTCATTTTAATTTTTTCCCTGCTAGGTTTATTTTCTAGAGGCCTACCCTCTTTTCATGATGAAAAGGCAGTGGTGGAAAGGATGATGGCTCACTGTCTGACAGATTATTACCAGGTATGACTAAAGTATAGCCTTCAAAATAGCGTCGTAGCACCTACCAGGCAGACACAGTTCCATGTAGGCAGATTTTTCTGCAGAGCTTCTGGAAGGAAATAAAGTCCCACTCAAGGACTGAGTCATTAGTTGAAATTCTCCATGGACTGGAGCCTTTATATTGGTAAAGGATTACGTTGAAAATCATCCCAGTATTTCTGTAATTCCTGCTTAATCTTGACCCTCATGCCACTGGTATGTATTTTTGATTTTGCCGAGTGTTCTGACAGTTGGTAAAGGGCATGAATGTTTCTTTTTTCTGAAAGACTTTATTACCTCTCATTGTTGTCAAGTGTGTGCAGTGTGTTTAGCAGTGCATTTAAGAAGAAGGTGATAAAATGAGAAAGAACACCTGGTTTGGTTTTGGGTAAGGGTAAGTTGAATGCTATAAAAGACATGGGAGTGGAGTTCAGGTATAGTGGTGGGCGCCTTTAATCCCAGCACTCAGTAGGTAGAAGCAGAAGGTTAGAGAGTTCAGGACCAGCCTGGGCAGCATTGCCAGACCCTATCTTAAAAAAAAAAAAAGACATGAATGTGAAGAATATGAGTAGTAGTGAACATGGATACAAAGAGTTCCTAGGGTCATTCACCAAACCTGGTGTAGACTCTGGGAGAGCTCTCAATTCTGTGTGGGCATCGATGGAGATAGTAGTTGGCTTAGATCAGCATGTATGTGCTTATAGGACTCAGTTACCTTTGAGGATGTGGCAGTGGACTTCACCCAGGAGGAATGGACTTTATTGGACACAACACAGAGAAACCTCTACAGAGAGGTGATGTTGGAGAATTACCAGAATCTGGCCACAGTAGGTGAGGTCGCCATCATTCTGTATATACTTTGTTTTCTTTTTAAATTACATTTTACTTATGGTGTGTGCCATGTGCACATGGGAAAACACAGGGCAACCTACAGGGATTGATCCTCTTTTTTTTTTTTTAGAGAGATTTATTTTTGCCTTTAATTACATGAATCTGTGTGTGTCTTCATGTGATATGTTCATGTGAGCTCAGGTGCCCTTGGAGGCCAGAGAGATTGGATCCCTTTGGAGTTGCAGTAATAGGTGATTGTGAGCCACTGAATGTGGGTGCTAGGAACTGAACTTGGATCCTCTGCAAGAGCAGCAAGCACTCTTAACGACTGAACAATCTCTCCAGCCTCACAAGTTGATTCTTTATTTCCACCATGTGGGTCCTGGGGATTAAGCTCAGGTTGTTACCCTTGGCTGCAAGCACCTTTACCTACTGAGCCATCTTGCTGGCTTGAGGAACAGAAATATCTTTTGTATTTACTGTTTTAGGGTTAGTGATATCAGCTTTGAGGACAGTTGAAAATAATAGGTCCCTGTCTCTGCCCTATTGTATTTTACTCTATTGTGATTTTTTTTTTTTTTTTTTGTCTTTTTGAGTGAGTCAGGGTCTCCCTGTAGCCCCAGCTGTCCTGGAACTCACTATGTAGACCAGGCTGGCCTTGAACTCACAGAGATCCATCTGCCTCTGCCTCCCAGCTGTTTTGTGCAATGCTCACTGAGTCAGAGCCCCTGGAACTACAGTTAAGGACAATTGATGACTGCCATGTGGGTGCTGGGAATCAAATCCTGGTCCTTTAAAAGAGCAGCCAGTGCTCTTAACCACTGAGCCATCTCTCCAGCTGCTACTGTGATGGTTTTTAAGGCATAGTCCTACGATCGCCCCAGTATCACCTTTAGTGCTCCAAAAATGACTTGTGACTCTACCTTTGATAAACTGCAGTCAGATGCCATGAGAGCCTATACCTTTGACAAATGAATCAGAAATACTTCATTTGTAGAGTTAATCAACTGCATTTTAACAGTCCTTCCACATGAATCTAATGATGACAAAGAACTCTTTGTTTTACTTTATTTTTTGTTGATTAACACTAGTGCTTTTTAATGTCTGTGTAACCATCTCCTGGGGCCAGAAGGGTCAGAAATCAGTGCCTTATGGACACAGAGTGGGGACATTTGCATATTGGGGTCTTTAGTAGTCATTTGGAACTGTAGTATCATTTCTTACTTGATCTACTTCATGAATGCATCTTTCCTCATGTACAGGGTGTCAGCTCATTAAACTCAGCTTGATCTCTTGTTTGGAAGCAGAAGAGTTGAGGATAGTGGAGAGTGGAGTCTGCCAAGGTAAACGTTTGTAGTTCAGGTTTTTTGGAGTACAGTGAAAATGTTTTATCCTGATTCTGTGAATGGCACAACAGGACTTGAGCAAGCTCAGCAAGTGTTTTACCACTGAGGTACATTCCCAACAAGAGAAAACTTTTCAGAATAATAAATTTGAGTCAGAAGGTTAAGGCCATTGGCAATGTTTGGATGTTTTGGGAGCTCTTCATTCCCAAACTCCATTGCTTTCCATCTGTCCAGACATTCTTACTATCTCACTGATGGCCTGTTCTTTCTAATCAAGTGTATGATTTAAAAAAAACATTTATTATTTTTATGCCAGGCGTGGTGGCGCACGCCTTTAATCCCAGCACTTGGGAGGCAGAGGCAGGTGGATCTCTGAGTTCAAAGCCAGCCTGGTCTCCATAGTGAGTTCCAGGACAGCTGGGGCTATGGGGGGGAAAAAAAAAGCACTAGTGTTAATCAACAAAAAATAAAGTAAAACAAAGAGTTCTTTGTCATCATTAGATTCATGTGGAAGGACTGTTAAAATGCAGTTGATTAACTCTACAAATGAAGTATTTCTGATTCATTTGTCAAAGGTATAGGCTCTCATGGCATCTGACTGCAGTTTATCAAAGGTAGAGTCACAAGTCATTTTTGGAGCACTAAAGGTGATACTGGGGCGATCGTAGGACTATGCCTTAAAAACCATCACAATAGCAGCTGGAGAGATGGCTCAGTGGTTAAGAGCACTGGCTACTCTTTTAAGGACCAGGATTTGATTCCCAGCACCCACATGGCAGTCATCAATTGTCCTTAGCTGTAGTTCCAGGGGCTCTGACTCAGTGAGCATTGCACAAAACAGCTGGGAGGCAGAGGCAGATGGATCTCTGTGAGTTCAAGGCCAGCCTGGTCTACATAGTGAGTTCCAGGACAGCTGGGGCTACAGGGAGACCCTGTCTCAAAATGACAAAAAAAAAATATATTATTTTTATTTTATGTGTATGAATATATTGTCTGCATGTATGTAAGTGTACCCTTGATGTGCAGTGCCTGTGGAGGTCAAAAGAGGGTGTCGGATTCCCCTGGAACTAGAGTTATGGGCTATTGTTAGCTGACATGTGGGTGTTGGAAAGGTACTGGGAATTGAACCGCAGTCCTCTCCAAGAGCAGTTAATGCTCTTACCCACTGAGCCATCTCTTTAGTTTCTCAAGTGTGTTATTTTCATGTGTGTTCTTTGTCCAGGCCTTACCTTTCCAATAATAGTTTCTTTTCATCAAGACATTTAATTTTCAGAATAAACTACTCATCCCTAAATTTTGGCTCCTGTCTTCTTTATGATTGTCAAATTTTGTTTATATTATTACATCATCATCGTCATCGTCATCATCATCATCGACATTGAATTCAGGGCCTCTTTTACTCTGACATGGAGCTGTATCCCCAGCCAGTAAAATTTTAGACAAAGCCAATTTACTCAAATATAACATAGCTTTGCTTTTTGGGGGGCGTGGGGGTGGGAAGGGAGGGTTGAGACAGGGTCTCATGATGTAGCCCTGGCTAGCCTGGAACGGGCAGTGCAAACCTAGCTGGTCTCAAACTCACAGAAACGTGCCTGCTTCTGCCTCCTGAGTGCTGGGATTAAAAGTATGTGCCACCATTGTTTTTAACTTGTTTAATATGAAAACAAATACAAATACTACAAATGAACTGTATAATTTTTTATTGTTATTTTATGTGTATGAGTGTATTGCGTGCATGTGCACCCATGTTTCACAGTGCCCATAGAGGTCAGAACAGAGCATTGGATCCCCTGGAATTGGAGTTACAGACAGTTGTTAGATGCCATCTGGGTGCTGGGAACCAAACCTGGGTCCTCTGCAAGAGCAACCAGTACTCTTAACCACTGAACCATCTCTCCAGCCCCCCAAATGTATAAGTTTTAATATTTCTAATCTCTTTCACTCTGGAAACCCTTATTTATGTTTTTCTGTTTAATTTCAGAACAGGCTATGCGGTTTACCACCAAAGGGATAGCACTTCAGGATATTTTTTGGCTAAAAATGGCAAGTGAGCTACAACTGGTAAGATTCACAAGAGGTATTTTTTATTTTCTACATTTAAATTGACTGAGCATTTCATGATAGAAATCAGTGCAAATGAAGGCGTATTAGAAATAAATAGCCTACGTAGGAGTAGTGTCTGGAGAGGTGCACCAAACCTGGTGAGAAACGTGAGTTCCCACCTATAATTATAGGCACTGATGCCGTTTGTTTTCATCTTTGAAACAAGGTCTTTCTTCCTTATTATTTCTTATTATTTATTTATTTATTTTTTGTTTCTTATTTATTTTTGGTCTTTTTGAGACTGGGTCTCCTTATAGCCTCAGCTGGCCTAGAACTCACTTTGTAGACCAGGCTGGCCTTGAACTCATAGAGATCTGCCTGCCTCTGCCTCCTGAGTTCTGGGATTAAAGGTGTGTGCCACCACCACACCAGGTAAGACAAGGTCTTTCTTTTTTTTGTATAGACTCTAAAATATATATATTTAGAGATAGATCATATACAGCATTCTGAAAATAATTAATTGGAAGGAAAAAAACCCACAATACAGTTCAGGACTCACCACCAAGTAAGAGAAGCTGCTGTACCCTGTCCCCTCCATTACAGAGGCACCACAGAAGGGTCTGTACATCATGGTCCCAAACACAGATTGTAACAATAAAGTATGTTGCACAGGGACTGAGAAATTAGGTCAGTTTGTTGTGTTTCTCCTTGTTGGTCTGGTAGGCAGCCAAGGTCAAGGGCTTGTTTTCATGAGGGAGAGCCTAAGACAAGGTCTTTCTGTGTAGCCTTGGTTGTCCTGGAATTTCCTTGTAGACCAGGCTGGCCTTGAACTTACAGAAATTCACCTGCCTCTGCTTCCTGAGTGCTTCAGTTAAGGGTGTGTGCCAGCCACACCTGGTGACATTGAGGTTTTAAAATGATTTCATGAAAGCCTTTCAGAATTAGTGCACATGACATAAGATGCTTGTTGTAGGATTTGTTCATTCATATTGAGTGTATCCATGTAGTAAAAATGAGAAAAATTATGTTCAGATGGGTGGGATATACTAATGAATTTAAAAAACTTTTTCAGTCACTTTATTTTCTATCAGCAGGCAAGTAGCCATAATGGAGGAGAACTCTATGACTTTAAGCCATGTGGAGAAGTCCTCAAAGAATCCTCATGCAGTCTTACATGCATGGGCCCTCAAAATAGAAAGACCACTTATGATTCTGTTCAGTATGGACAAGGCTTTCCTGTGTTGCATAAGGAAACTTCTGCAGAAAACCTTCCTGTAATGAGTCAATATGGAAAAGGCTTCAGTCTGACTCCAAGTGTTGCTTACCAGACAACCTGTGTACAAGCCAAATCTCTTGAATCTAGTGAATTTCAGCACACTTTTGGTAGTCAGTCACCTGGAAGACTTCACAGTGAAGACAAACTCTTCAAATGGGAGCAGTGTGGTGATGCTTTTAACTCCTCCACAAATCATGCTGGGAAAGGTCAAACACACACTGGAAAAAAATCCTATGAATGTAAGGAATGTGGGAAAAGTTTTAAATATTCTGCCAATCTTAATATTCATATGCGCACCCATACAGGGGAGAAACCTTATCAGTGTAAGGAATGCGGGAAAGCCTTTTCTAGGTGCTATCCTCTAACTCAGCACTTAAAAACTCACACTGAAGAGAAGCCCTTTGAATGTAAGTTTTGTGGAAAAAGCTTTCGAAATTCCTCATGCCTTAATGATCACTTTCGGGTTCACACTGGAATAAAGCCCTATAAATGTAAGGACTGTGGCAAAGCCTTTACTGGGCGCTCTGGCCTTAGTAAACATTTGCCAACCCATACTGGAGAGAAGCCCTATGAATGTAAGGAATGTGGAAAAGCCTTCACTTCAACTTCAGGCCTTATTAAACATATGAAAAGTCACATGGGAGAGAGACCCTTTGAATGTGACCATTGTGGGAAAGCTTTTGCTTCTTCCTCAACACTTATTACACATTTGAGAACACACACTGGAGAGAAGCCCTTTGAGTGTAAAGTATGTGGAAAAACATTTACATGTTCTTCTTACCTTCGCATTCACATGCGAACTCACACTGGAGAAAAGCCCTATGTATGTCAGGAGTGTGGCAGAGCCTTCACTGAGCGCACAAGTCTTACTAAACATTTACGAACACACACTGGAGAGAATCCCTTTGAGTGTAATGTGTGTGGAAAAGCATTTGCATGTTCTTCCTACCTTCATAATCATATACGAACTCACACTGGAGAGAAACCTTATATATGTAAGGAATGTGGGAAAGCCTTCACAGTTTCGTCACACTTAAGTAAACATGTGAGAATTCACACAGGAGAGAAACCCCATAAGTGTGAGCAGTGTGGGAAAGCCTTCACTGTGCGTTCTGGTCTCACTAAACACATGCGAACTCACACTGGGGAGAAGCCCTACAATTGTAAGGAATGTGGGAAAGCCTTTACTACATCTTCAGGCCTCCTTGAACATATAAGAAGTCACACAGGAGAGAAACCATATGAATGTGACCAATGTGGAAAGGCCTTTGCTTCTTCCTCATATCTTATTGCACATTTGAGAATTCATACTGGAGAGAAGCCTTTTGAGTGTAACATGTGTGGGAAAGCATTCACCTGTTCCTCTTATCTTCATATTCACATGCGAACTCATACTGGAGAGAAACCCTATGAATGTAAGGAATGTGGGAAAGCCTTTGCTGTTTATTCACATCTGAGTAAACATGTGAGAATTCACAGTGGAGAGAAAGCCTATAAATGTAAAGATTATGGGATAGCCTTCAGTAGTTCTCATCTTACTGAACACTTAAAAACCATTGAGAAAAATCCTCTGAATGTAAGCAATGAAGAGACTCCTTTAGGAAGTCCTATTGCATTGTGTTAGCAATGCATTCAAATTCACAGTGGCAAGAAACCTTATCAATGTAAGACATTGGTAAAGTGTTTCTGTGTCCTGGTTCCCTTCAAAGCCCCGAAAGACTCATGTTCCAAAGATGCCTCATGAACTTAAGAAGTGTGGGAACTCATCAGAATTTGCTCATAATCTGGCTCACAAGAAATCCCTTTGAGTTGTACAATGTCAAACATGGAAAGCCTTCACTATTTCTTGAACTCACTAAATGGGAGAAAACCTGTTGATACATGATATGAAAAGTTATATTTTGGTTGAGTAGTTTGATGATCACTTAATACCACAGTAGAGAAAGACCATGAAAATAAGAAATATTGGAAAGTAATTTACTACATTTGTTGTCAACCTTTAATAAGCATGAAGTGCTTCATACTTGAGAAACTGTTCATGTATGGAATATGGGAATTGTTTCTGTCTTGAAATACTAACAGACATGGCTTGTTATAAATTTATTTTAGACATTTGCATTTGTAATATTTGAAATATTTTTAATATTTGCACTTACGACTTTTCAGTCTTAAAATATATTTAAAATGTGCAAGCTAATGTGGAATATATGTGTACATTGTGAAATGATTATCATAGACTAATTAAAATGTGATGTAGTAAACTATTTTTGTTATTATGAAGCACTTTTTGCTGTCTTAGAAAGTTCAGAGACAGTGCATCATTATTATTTTTACCAACTATATATTTTTGTTGTTGTTGTCTTTTTTTGAGACAGGGTTTCCCTGAGCCCCAGCTGGGCTGGCCTCAAACTCACAAAGATCCGCCTGCCTCTGCCTCTCACCAATCATATTCTTAGTCACTCATCTTTTAACTGAATGTTATAACCTTTCACAGTAGCACATTTTCCCTAAGCTCTTGGTAACCACAATTATATTTTTCTTTTCTGAGTTTGATTTTTACACTCCATATTTAAATATGATCATGTAGTAATTTTTGTTTTGGTGTCTCGCTTATTTCACATAGCAAAATGTCCTCCAGGTTTATCTCTGTGTCCTAAATGACAAAATTTCCTTAAAAAAATTGTGTAGTCTGCTTTATTTTATGAGTGTTTTGCCTACATTCATGTAGGTGCACCGTGTGTGTACAATGCCCATGGAGGCCAAAAGCAGGCACTGGATCGCCTGGAGCTGGGCTTATGAATGATTGTTGGTTCTGTGTGGGTGCTGTGACTAAACCTGGGTCCTCCACAAGGGCAGTAAGTGCTCTTAACTGCTGAGCCATCTCTCCAGCCCCATATTTTGCTTTTCACACACACACACACACACACACACACACACACACACACACTTTTTGTGTGTTTATTCTCTGTGTGTGCATCTGTATGAATGAGGTGCCACATCACTCGTGTGGAGGTCAGAGGACAACCTTGGGTACTGGTCCTTACCTTCCACCTTGAGACATTCTCTGCATCTCTCCAGCTCCGAAGAAATTTTGTCTACAAAGGAACACTTAGGTTGCTTGTGTACTTTGGCTATTGTCAGCATTACTAAATCAAATATAAGAATGTAAATATCTGTTTAGTCATTCCTTGGGTGCATGGCCATTTGTTTGTTGGATTATTTGTTGCCCTATTTATAATTTTATGAATAACTTCTGTACTGTTCCAGATAGCTCTACCAGTTTTTATTTTATTCAAGATGATGTTTCTGTAAACCATTTTTACATCTTTCCTGTTTGGATGCTTTTTATTTCTCTTCCTTGCTTAATTGCTGTTGCACAAATGTATTATAATGAATAGACATTCCAAGCAGGGATACTCTTGTCCTGTTCTTAATCTTGAAAAGCTTTGGGCTTTTCATTGAGTATGATGATGGCCACCCACTTATCATATACATATAGTCACTAGTAAATTAAGCTGCAGTCATTCTATATCCAATTTGTTGAGGGTTTCATGAAAGGCTGATGAATTGATTAAATGCTTTTTATTTTTACAGTCTTTTTGCAGTGATTTTTTTTTTTTCCTATCATTGTTAGGTGACATTTGATTTTTGCTTATGTTGAATTAACCTTGCATTGCAGGTATAAATCACAACTGGTCATGATGCATACTCTTTTTATACAATATGTGCTTCAAATGTGGATGGATTAAATTTGCCCATCAAAAAAAGACAGACATGAGCCAACAAGATGGCTCAGTGGGTATACACGCTCACCACCAAGCCAGACAACCTGAGTTCAGTCCTGGAACCCATGTGGTAGAGGGGGAGAATTGACTCCTGAAAGATGTCTTCTGATCTCCACATGTGTGACAAACATGTGTGTGCACATGCAACACAAACATAAATTGTAAAAAAAAATTTTTTTTTAAGATAAACTTGAGAACTGGGCTTGGTGACACACGTCTTTAATCCCAGCCCTCAGGAGGTAGAGGCAGGTAGATCTCTGTAAGATCAAGGCTAGCCTAGTTTACAAAGTGAGTTCCAAGCCATCTGGGACTACAGGGAGGCCCTATCTCAAAAAGACCAAAAAACAAAACTGCCCAAGAAGGTGTTTGAGTGGTTAAGACCACATACTGCTCTTTCAGTCAGATGACCTGTGTTCGAATCCCAGCACCTACAGGGCAGCTAACTGTTCGTAACTCCAGTTCCAGGGGATATGACAGTCTCTTCTGTCCTCTTCAGGCATTGCATGACATGGGTGCACTTACCTACAAGCAGGCAATACACACATACACATCAAAAAATAAAAATAAATGAAACATAAAGAGTAAAGAAATAAAACCATAAGAGTCCCCTGGTCGTTTTTCAGTTCCATGTAATCCATTCAGGTTCTGTGGCTGCCCCCCTGGCAGCCACAAAAACCATCTATAACTCCTGTTTCAGGGGACTCTTCTGGCTTCCAAGGGTATCGGAATGGTGCATATAACACGTAGATAAAACACTCATATACATAAAATGACATAATTTTTTTAAAAAAGTGGAATGGGTCGGGCATGGTGGCGCATGCCTTCAGTACCAGCACTTAGGAGGCAGAGGCAAGCAGATCTCTGAGTTCAAAGCAAAACTGTACACATCTATATTCTGCCTAAAGAACAGTCAGTGTTCTTATCCGCTGAGCCATCTCTCCAAACCCTCTTTACTCTTCTTTATCCACGCACGAGTGCCAAAAGCACAGGCAACTCTTTTTTATACTCATTGGAGTACAGCTGAATGTTTTCAGGACAGTGAATAATAATAAAGTGACTAGACTATAGCAATTTAGTAAAATATAATGACCACAGTAACAGTGCCACCATAATATGCCTTGAGAGATAAAGGTATCTCCTGAGAAACTAGGGGAGTACTGGAATTCCAGAGATAACTCCCCAGCAAGCGTTCCTGCATAAACTTTCTCCTGAGACAAGACTCTCCAGGCATACATGTTCAAGGTTCAGCTAAATTTACTAAGCATATTTTTTAAAGCTATAGGAACAATATTTCACAGTCCCTTCAGTTGTGAGCCACCACGTGGGTGCTGGAAATGGAACCCGGGTCCCCTGTGAGGGCAGCATGCTCTCAGAATTGCCCAGCCACTTCTCCAGCCCCCACACTGCTTTTTCAGTGGTTGCATAAACCTGGCCTGTGGTGCTCAACTTTGATCCTGGCACTTGGGAGGCAGAAGCAGGCAGATCTCTGAGATCCAGGCCAGCTTGGTCTACATTGCAAGTTCCAGACCAGCTGGGAGACCCTGCCTCAAAAAACAAAAAAACAAAAAAAATCAATGGTTCCATAATATTTATATATAATTAGTTATTGAGGTTTGAATATAATGTTAACATTAGAAAAGGTCTTTATTTGTGTGTGTGTGTGTGTGTGTGTGTGTGTGTGTGTGTCTATGTATGTGTCGGCAACATGTGTGGGTGCCTTCAGGGTCACAGAAGGTGTTGGATCCCTTGGACCTGGAGTTCAGGCAGTTTTGAGCTGCCTGGCATGGGTACTGGGAACCAAACTTAGGTCTTCTGGAACAGCAGCAAGTGTGCCATCTCTCCAGTCCTATAGATGCTTTTAAAAAAAATATTTATTACTTTTATTTTTTGTGTACGAGTGTATTGCTTGCATGTATGTGAGTGCACCCATGTTGTGCAATGCTGCCGAGGTCAGAAGAGGGCTTCGAATTCCCCCGGAACTGGAGTTGAGGATGGCTCGTAGCTGCCATGTGGGTGCCGGGAATCGAACCCAGGTCCTCTGCAAGAGCAGTCAGTGCTCTTAACTGCTGAGCCATCTCTCCAGCTCCCCTATAGGTGCTTTTTGTCACTGAAAAAATACTTCAGAACCTCAAGGGATTGTTGCACTACTTTCCTGCAGAGAAATCTCTATTCATCCTAAGTGAGGGGGCTACAGAAAGAAAGATTCTAAGTCTAGCTTGGAAAAATATATTAGAACTGTTTACAGGAGCTTTTTTTTTTTTTTTTTGAGATGAGGTCTCAAAAAGCTGGTGCAAAAGCTGACCTGGAACTCTCTATGTAGACCAGGCTAGCCTTGAACTCACAGAGATCTGCCTGCCTCTGCCTCCTGACTGCTGGTACTAAAGGCATGCACCACCAGGCCTGGCTCTAGGGGTATATTTTATATGGCTTTAAAGCTATAGAAGAGTTGGTGCAAAGCTAAGAGTGCTCCCTTGGGTCCGAACAGTAGAGATGGCTGCAGGTTCACACAAAATCAGTCTGGGAAAGTACAGGGTGTCTCTGCTCTTACTAGGCCTTCTGGCCTTGGCAAATGCTGTCCAACTGTGGAAAGGGTGCCCAGTTTTGCTGTAGTCTGACACATAGGACAGATAAATGGTGTCTTGCTGCAGGACTAGTTCCACTGTAGGGCTTTATTTTGGCTCATGGTCTCAGAGGTTTTAGTGCATGGCTGGTTGGCTCTTTTGCTTCTGGCTGTGGTGGGAAAGTGTATCATGGCACAGATGGTATGGTAGAGGGCTTGGTGGAGGACATGGAGCAGAACTGCTCATCTCATGGTGGCCTGAGAGCAGCGAGTGCCTGAACTAGGAGGATCTGTCCCACTTTCATTCCATCCAAACCCACTGCCTATTGGATGAGATTGGGTCTTTCCCCTTAATCTCTAGAAATAACACCCCCAGACACAACCACAAATGTGTTTGGATAATCTAGGTG